TACATTTGGAGTAGAAAGCACTTAGGGGAAAAATATATTAATACATTCACCTCGTGTATCAATACATGTTGGGGCAGTGAGCATTCTACCTAAAATGTATCAATACATTGCCCCGATATATCGATACATTTAGTCTAAATATGGGCAAATGTATCAATGCATTGCCAAATGTATCAATACATCATTGAAGAAAGGCAAAAATAAAAAAAAGTTCATGGGTGTAACAACCTCTTTCCTCGATCGTTACCGACGTTCGAGACTTACGAGTGAACCGCCAAATCCTGAACAACCCTTAGTTAAGCCTTCAAACAATTTAAACTCAACTTATAATTTTAACACCATAATTCATTTAAACCAAATAATCACAATATTTAAGTCGAGGCATCTAGATACTAATAACCAGGTTTGATAATTTCATACAATTTCAACATAATATGTGGTAATCATTACATAACCTTAAGTTTTAGCAAACACATTACCAATAAACTATTAATCATTATAAGTCCGACTATTTGACACAACTCAACCTCTAGGCAACGGAGCGACTCGGAGTGGAAGTCTAAGAGATGCCATTACCTAGATTGCATTCGGTCTCTAAGTGTTGAACAATCCACTTGAACTAATTACCTATCTGCAAAAGGAAATAAAAGAGGTGAGTCTCACAAGCTCAGTGATCATTAACTCCGTGTGTAGGGCATAGATGGGAAACAAGATAAAGGCAGAAGATTTGATTATTAAAAATATAAGAATATATGTAAACAATTTACCCAAAAAGGAAGGTTTGTGCCTTATATGAAAAATAAGTAAGTTGATGCTAAATAATCATTTAAAGAAAATATCAACCCAATTCATGTAAAGATTCCTACAATCGAAATCATTTAACAACTGGTCTAAAGTAATTTAGTGTTATTACATATGCTCCCTTAAAATCCAACATTTTACAAAGCTTGTGTGCAAATTCATAAATCACCTCGCATGCAAAGAATTAAATCAAATGTCATTATATAAGTAAGGGAACGACAGAAAAACCATTATTGTTCACCATGCAAAAACTATGTACATGAAAAACCCAAAGAGATATCA